GTACGTTATTTGGGGTCGTGTTGCGCCCTCCCTTGACAGCGTGACAGTCGAGATGCCCTGCAACACATGACAAGGTCATAAGTGTGGCACGGGAGGCATGACACGCCAAGACAGATGGTCAATGGCAGCGTCATGCAAGGACAAATGTTTTTGTTTTTTTCCTTGCGAGGAGGCGATGTGGTGACAGTTGTGGGGATTTTGGTCTTGGCTGCTGCGACTCGTGGCTGGTGCGGCGGGATGCCTGGCCCTGCGGGTTGTCCATGTGCAGTTTATTTTTTACGTTTGGTAGTGTTCGAAAATGGGGGAGTTGGAAGGGGAGGTGGAAATAGGTTTGTTGTATTGCTCTTCTTCCTGGGATTCGGGTTCGAAGAGTGTGCTGTTGATTTTAAAGGAAGCAAACTCAATATCCTTATCGAAGTGTGATTATTTGATGGAATTGAGTTATTTTGAAAGATATTCAATTTAGTTAAACATTGTCAGAGAGTATGATTAACATATATTTACAATATATGCTAACCATATTGTAACAACGTTCAGCTGATGTGTCAAAATAGCCTTTGTAGCATGTTATTATGATTAATAATTCACCATCACCTGGAAACTGTAGTGTGCTCTTGAATACTTGCTGCTGAATCCCGGCAACAGTCTAAGGGTCGAAGACAGCGTAAAGAAGTGGAGTATGCACTCCATGTATACAAATTTGTATATTTAGGAGACAATGTGTAGTATAAAGTAGTGGCAGAGTTGGGTAAGAAAATTTCCATGAAGTGAAAGAACACTACAAACCAAGACAAGGTTCTTCTATGGCATTATGTGTGTAAATGCTTCCCAAGGGCGCTATACATAAAAGAACAGAAAAGTTGCTCATCTTGTTTACATTGCAAGGGTGAATTCTAGACTGACACATAACACATTAGTGCGATATGCCAAGTAATTCATGTATGCCTGCCTGCTTGCCAAAGGGATATTTTGGTCAGTATTGATCTCTTGTGCATGCGAGGTTTCACGAATAGGTCTTTTGACAGGACCGGGAGACCATTCCATGATGAGCGCCTGTAGAAAAGGTTTTGTTTTCAGTGTTACATTAATTCTGGGTTATTCTAAAGACTATATGGCAATGAAGAAGGAACATACATTAGTGAACATCCTAGTTTGATTTCTGAGCTCATTAAGTAAAGGAATGCAGAGCAACTCATCATTCTCCACAGTTATGATCATTTACTATATCAATAGAGCATAGTGTAAATGGAATGACACTTGGGGGTTCAGGGGGTGTAGTCCCCCTGGCTAGGCGCATATACTACCACAGGGTCCAGGGGGCAGGGCTCCCTTAGTAGGGATTATATACTACGGTGTTGGGTTAGGTTGAATGTTGGGTTGGGGCCTTTTGTCTAATAACCACGGGTGTCCAGGGGGCTAGGATTATGTGAAATCCCATAGATTAAAGTTAACCCTTTGCCGACGGGCATGGCATGTATGTACATGCCATGCCCATTGTGAGTTTACTTGTTTAATTGTTTTCACACATAGATGGCTACACTTGTACTAAATCACCAATGAGCCAGTTACGAGTACTGCCTGCTTCGCCCATTCACCCTCTTCATCAATTTACAAAAAATTTTAATGTTATCTTATTTTGCTGTTACAAATGTTTATAACTTTATAGTAATTATAATATTTATAATAAAAATAACACCATCTATATTTATAGCACAATACAATTTTCGCGCCAATTTAAGGAAAAGTGAAATCATTTATGGCTAAGCACTAGCAGAGCCATCTAGTATCAGGGACATTTCACAAAAATATAAAAAATGAGCATAGAATCTACCTACCTACCTACCTACCTACCTACCTACCTACCTACCTACCTACCTACCTACCTACCTACCTACCTACCTACCTACCTACCTACCTACCTATCTTCCTATCTTCCTACCTACCTACCTACCTACATATATATATATATATATATATATATATATATATATATATATATATATATATATATATATATATATATGATGTATATAAACTGCTCAAAACAATTAGAGGAACACTTGTATTTCATTTCAGAACTCAATGTTGAATGTACAGATGTTACAATTTTGTACTGAAACTAAGTTCCCAATATACCCTGAACCACAGAGTGTCAAACTGGCCAAGAAGAACAAAAGTTAACCCATTGCCGCCAGGGATGGCATGTACGTACATGCCATGCCCACTTTGAGTCGACTTGTTCGATTGTTTTTACACATAGATGGCTACACGTGTACTAAGTATCCAATGAGCCAATTACGAGAACTGCATGTCTCGTCCGTTCACCCTTTTCAACGATTTACGAAAATGTTTAACGTTATCCTAATTTGCTGTTAAGAATAACACCATCTATATTTATAGCACTAGTAAAAATACGTTTTTTCCCGCCAATTCAAGGAGGGGTGAAATCAGGACTAGCAGAGCCATCTATGGACAGAGCTATTTCACAAAAATATAAAAA